AGCTTTTCAGTATTAGTCTTGAAGAGTGATACTTCCAGAGGAAAGAATCCCGATGAAATTTTCTTTGATACTTCGGTAAAAACAACTTCAAACTTTCAAAACAGGACCCATCCAACAAGACAACACAATTTTGTGGAGGTCTGGCCCAATCCTCATAATACTATATACATGTGCATTTACCCTGGCGAAAGGAAGGGGAATGTAGGAAAACCTACAGGTATAAAAATCAGTTCATTTTGTTATCAGGCTACTTTGGTGTCACAGGGAAGCTTTACTTGAGGAAACTTGTTTTGATTTCACGGAAATCAAAGTGAAATTCCCTGGGTGTATTGATCTCGGAGTGACCCGAAGAAGCTGCATGTGGAGTTAAACCAGTTTGACAAAACCTCCAAAAAGCTGCGGAAATTCACAACTGAAGGGAGGTCTTTATGGCATTGTCACACCTAGGTGTGATAGGTGGGCATGTCAGGGTGATCAAATGGGATAAAAAATGCTCTACCTAGCGTAGAGAAAAATGGCCTCTGACTGGAGTTCTGGTGTTGGGCAGATGTTGCTGGTACTTCATGGAGGAATTTCCCAAGGAACAGAGTACAGAAACATAGACCCCTAGGCTGGGGAATACTCATGCAACAAAGATCCTGTGTTGGAGTACTTGTAGTCGCACACAACTCAAGTCCAGTGTTGGAGTATTCATACTTGTGCACAACTTGAGTACTGGTAAGATAACAGACAACTGTCACATGGTGCATTAAAAGGAGCCATCTACTGGACAATCCAAGAGACTTAAAATAAGCCCAGAATTGCCTTATTTCAGTGGACTTACGGAAAGGAAGTTACTTTCTGTAGATCTTTGGAAATTTGTATCATTAAAAATATGCAGGCCACTGTTGCTTAAATTGCTTTTACGGGCTGAGTGGTTTTCTTTTGTACAGTATATGCATACTGGAGAAAATAAATGGTGGAAAAGATGCACAAAGAAGATTCAGTAGTCCTCAGGAGTCAGCTAGTGATCTCCGCCGATGTGCTCGAAGCTTCCAAATCAGCGGTAGTAATTTGGCAAAAGTCGGACATTTTTAAAGTCAGTTATGACATTTTGCGTTTCTGGAGGTAGAAAACAAATACCCAAAATATGAACTGCGATATTTATATCACAAGTCACAATCCCAGTGGTTCCTATGGTTAAAAAAAGGTGGAAACATGCTGCAGAAATGCATTTGACAACTTGGTGAGGTTTCATGCCGACACAGTTGTGGACAATGATAGAAAGGACAACGAATCTTCCCATATTTTTGAGTGTTTTTTGTTTCAAGGCGACCATCATGAACATGTGGAAGTAAACAGACATGAATGAGCAGTACCCACAATCCTTTGAAAATACATAATTTGTTTTGTCCTTGTAGCAAGTGCAGTGCTGGTGGTCATCATTGACCCTTTTGATCTCTGTATGTGCTGACTTCTTGTGTTTAATAGCGCCATGCTTTCACAAAGTCCAAATAAATGATGTCTTTAATTCCATGTAAAATCAAGTCGCATATCTGCAGTACTATTGAGACAGCTTGGATCCTGGGCTGATGGTTCCCTGTAATGTGCACTTGTGGAGCTGATCAGTGACTTGGAGCCTGGACTGCATTTTCATGTACATTATTGTCAAACTCGAGGAAAACCGCAATATGAGAGCAATGTAGTTAATGCTCCACGAACTTAGTGGTGGGAGTAGAAAGGCAAGATTACTAGGAATATCGCATTTCTCAATATTTTGTTATGCATGTAAGAAAAAAGGCCCAATTCAGTATGAAAAAAATATTGTGGTTGTGATAATTATCATGGCAGTGAGCAGACTACTGGGAGAAAAATTGAGAAAGTAATATCACAGTTCCTTACACTGATTTAAGTTCTGACCGCCGAGCTTTAAGTTATCGTCAGACCTTCCAAATTCACACAGCCCTATTTCTACAACTATGCCAGACCTTTCTTGTAATAGCGTTGGGGCTCAATTGAATTTACATTCATTTGTATTGGCGATCTCTCTCCCCCGGCACCAATTTAGGCTTCTTGGTCACTTTTAGTCTTCTTAGTGCTCCTTCAATAACTTTTTGTTCCTCAATGTATTTTGTGGCCAAAGCAATGTCAAAAGCCACAGAAAATGGCAAGGACTTGTGTGTCGTTTTTTTATTTTTTTGGTCGCCATGGCTTGCAAGTTGCAGACATGTACATATGGCAGTTTCAACGCAGATGACACATGTGCGTGGATGCAATTTTTGTGCTTAGCATAGCATCTGTGAAATGTTTGCCGAGATATATGTGTATGTACATCAGCAAATTTCTTTGCTACAGTTAGCACAAACAATTACTGAATGGAAAGCAGCACAGTGAAATTGGGCTCAGATGTGTATAAGTGGAATGGTCAGAAAAAAAAAAACCACGTACATGTACATGTATGTTCAAATTGCTTCCCAATTTATGGGAAAGCACAAAGGCAAGGATATATTACTCTATATTCCTCCTGAATGTTTTGACCTGCTTACTGATTTCAGTCATATTTCTCCATGATTCATGCTCACATTGTGTCCATTAATTCCTGTGTGGTCACGTTTCAATGCAAAACACCGTAAACAAATTTTCAAATACAACATCATGATGAATTGGGCATGGAGTCATTCACAAGTTTCAATATATCTTTTGTGCCTTTTTCGATAATTATGCATGCAAACAGATGAAAAAAATCAAATTCATAATAAACAACAAAATTATGAATAAAAGAACATGCTTTACAGACGAAACAAACTTTATAACCTTCAAATATAAATGACACACAGATATACATAGCACCATCACTGTATTTACTTTCCAGTTTCTTGTCCCTGATGCCCAAATCTTGTTCCCATATATACAACTTGCCGTGTAATGTTGGTTCAAGGGAACGTGCATGCTGTCCATGGAGTAGAGGTTGCTAACACCCAAACAGGGCATTGAGAAGGGCTATTTTTTTTCGTGCATGATGCAATGTCATTGATCCTTTATTGGATCGACAAGCTTTCCTACTTGTGAAATGACCCATGTGCAGAGCAGTCTGCTTCCCACAATACGTTCGGTGCCGGTGCTTCCTTCACAAGGGCCGCATCCTTATTACTTGGCTGCGGCTTGAAATTACACAAAAACCTACAGCTGTGGCTGTACCCACATCCCATACAGTTATGCATAATTTGAAGCTGCTGCCAAGTGATTTCGGCACAACCAGCAAAGACAAATCCTTTGTAACACATAATGCATGTTGTGTGAACGAGGATGAGCAAATATCCTAGACAGTGTGGGAATTGGGAAGACTTTTTCAGATCTTTTTCTGAGAAAAATCAGAGAATTGGAATGTTACAAATTTAAGGCCTTTCAAACCATGCAAATCGGACAAATTCGCATTAAAACAACAGTTGGCAGGTATGTTACTCCACTGACCTGCCAGATGTATTCAAGTTAACACTTGAAGATTATCTGCTTTTTGTTGTTTACAAAGTGAAAGAGACTTGAGAATGAGTTACCCACGGAATTGGACTTTCGCTTTATTTCTGCTTATAAACATCCTACTTGAGGTCCTCCAAATAAATAACATGTTAGTGAAAAGTAGCAAAACTAGCACCTTGTAGGGGAGCAGTGGGAAGAAAGAGCACACCATCCCTCTCTCGTACAGTTCACTGTGCCGCTGGAAGAGCTCAGTTATGGCATTCACCATCTACATATACACATAAAACATCAGCAAACAAAATTAGCTTAACTTCTATCCATGAAGCTGCAGCCCATTTTGTTACATTTGGAAACGTGTTGATGGTATTTCAGGGGTCAGAGTATAGACAAATTCAAAGACCAAAATTAGAAGCCATTACTATGGGGCCATCCTGTTTGCATGCAGGTGGTGCGTGCATGTGAAATTCCTCTTTGACCAATGGTCCCTCGGAATGGCTGTAAGGTGTTCTTTTAATTTAATGTTTTTCTTTTTTGGTTTTGGTGTGTGTATTGATTAGTTGTTTTAACCCCTCAAATTTTAAAGGAAAGTTCTCTCCCCCTCCAATATAAGTTGAGCAGGCCATGAGTTTTCTTCAGGAACATTCTCATTGTATACACCCCTCCAGTTGGGGTCTTTCCATGCAGGTCTTTCGTGTAGTGTTACCAGTTTTCTTTCACTGATAGAGAAGTATTGTTTAGAGCTGAATTAGAGGTGGGGGTCCACTAGGATTTTTTTCCCCTCTCCTGACCAGTTGGTTAAATGTTCACTCCAGATGTGTTGAACAACAAACCAGTATTGAAGGTGAACCTGTGTCTGTGTCTTTTTCCTTAGTAAATTAGGTTAGCCAGGTTCTGGCAGAAAGCTGTTTCTTTTATTATTAAAAAATTAGCTTGAGCTTACTGGAGTGAAGTGTGAAATGGAAGTGATGTGGAAAGTCTATAGCTAGGCTGAGAGTCAGAATGCCAGATGATTCCGGTATGTCAGCATGACATTTGAGTTGCTCAAAAAAAGCATTTTCTTGTTGGCCACAAGACACGATTAGAGGCACTTTTGCCCAGTAGGCATAAATTCAGGTGCCTCATGCAACAACTAACGTGCCACGGTTAGGACAGAACCGAGGAAAACCCAGATTTTGTTGTAAAGGCCAGCAGTGGAGCAGAACTCAACCACCTTATGTACATTCCACTGAAGAAGCTTGTAAGTATAAATACCCTATCTATTTTGGCAGATTATTCTCAAGAGTTCACTGATGTTTTGATTAAATGAAGTTCCTTTCCTTCACTGAAAATATCAATGGAATTTGTAGATGTAATTTGATTTGATTTCAAGGATTCAGCTGTGTAATTTAATCGAAAAGTTATTAAGGGTTATTTTGAAGTTTGAATTATAGACGGGAACTGACCTTTTCTTTCCAAATTAGAAATGCAGTACTGGTACTGTTCGGCCATTTCTTTAAATTTAGATGGTCAGTGGTCACTTTTGATGTTAATCACAACTACCCTACCACCAGTGCTACCCGGTGTCATAAATTGATCTGGACGACGGAAACCCTACAAATACCCGAGTGCAGTGCTGAGAATTGAGTGAACAAAGTTGACAAATCGTGGGAGCAGGAACTTAAGTATAAGGGATGTATACACTGAAAACTGGATGTATACACTGAAAACTACACGTATTTCTCAATGAGAAAGAACAAAACCTTTTGTGAATTTTTATGACAATGAACTGTAATCTTTTGTACTTGTAAGGAGCCTGAAATGATTTGTACAGGGTCAAATTGAATTTGTATTTCACTGATTGAATTTGAATTTTGTTTTAGTAATAAATTACGTTAAATTGGATAAATGAGAATCAGAAAAGAAAGAGGCAATTTAACAATTGATTTAAACTTCATTTTTGCCTGCAACTTGATGAAATCCTGGATTTAAATGTGTTCTTTTTATGCCTATGTACACAGTTTTGTAAATAAAGCAGTTGTTAACCAGAAAGGAAGAACATTTTAAAACTGAGAAGTTTCCGCCTCATCCTTTTGGCAGTCACATTCTTACAATGGCGTCTAATCAGCTTTGTCTATAGAGGAGTAAGACCACACAAGGATTAAGAATGGGCCTCGATCAATCTATTCAACCTGATAAAGGACCTACAATAGCAATTCAGCATGGTAGATTGAGAACACCCACAGAACTGGTAAACCACCCAAATCTGTATCGGATAAACAATGGCACATCTTGGTAAAAGTCTTATATCAATCAAAAAGACAAACTGTGCTAGATCATGCCAAGGCCATGAAGGTCCCTGGCAAAGTGTGGAATCTTCATATTATGGGATATGGTCGCTGCTGTTGTACCAACCTGACCGGCCCCGCCCCCACCTGGCCACCCCCAACATAATTGACAGTGTGGCTGGCAGAATCTGCATCCCTAACCTGACGGTTGAGCCACAAGTACTGAAACGCCATGAACACTTTGAACACGCAAGCATGACTCCTACCATGACAGTCCAGCAAAGCATCTGCTCCATTCATCCCCACACTCAGGCAAAGTCTCCCTCAACCCTGACAATACCGTACCTACAGAAGCTAGTGCTGCCTTCCAGTCCCTAAACCTTGAGTTTGATGACGTTTTCAACCCAGACTTCAGTGGCTACAACGGTTACGCTGGACGGTTAGAAGCCGTTGTCAACATAGGCCCTGTTAAGCCCCCTCAATGCAAGGGCTGACTCCCACAATACTCTAAGGACAAACTACAGGAGTTAC